AAGGCAGACGCTTAACGACTGAGCGATATCGAAAAGATATCGATATTGAATTGAGATCTAAAGAAGTGAGAGTTTGCAGGCAAAGGAGAGGTGGGAAGGCTCTTCCCACTTGTTTTAGGTAAAAGAAAATACAGAGCAAAAACCCTGAGGCAAGAAAAAATCTAACGAATTCCAGATATGGATGAGGTTTAATGAGGAAGAAGATGGCCATGTGAAGAAATTAGAGGGGCTTGGACTGACAGTGGCACTAGATAAAAGAATGAAGATTAAACATGAGCAGAATAAATAAAAAGAGATCCATATCAAGATAAATCTTAATGGAACTGCAGAGCACCAAAGACAGAAGATCTTAAAAGAAGTCACCCACAAAGGAGTGACAGTTATAAGGAACTCTCAGTAGCAATAGTGGAATATTTTAGCAGAATATTTTCTAGAGAAAATAATGGTGAACCTGGAATTGTGTACTCAGAAAAAAAAAATCTTTAAGAACAAAGGTGAAATGGGGGCACCTGGGTGGCACGGTCAGTTAAGCATCCAGTTCTTGGTTTCGGCTCAGGTCATGATATCCGGGCCCTGGGATTGAGCCCTGCATCAGGCTCCGTACTCAGTGTGGGATCTGCTAGAGATTCTCTCTTCCTCTCCTTCATCCCCTCCCGCTCATGCTATTTCTCTCTCAAATGAATAAATCTTTTAAAAAATGAACAAAGGTGGGGCGCCTGGGTGGCTCAGTCGTTAAGCGTCTGTCTTCGGCTCGGGTCATGATCCCAGGGTTCTGGGATCGAGCCCCACATCAGGCTCTCGGCTCTGTGGGAAGCCTGCTTCTCCCTCTCCCACTCCCCCTGCTTGTGTTCCCTCTCTTGCTGTCTCTCTCTGTCAAATAAATAAAAATAAATAAATAAAAAACCGAACAAAGGCGAAATGAAGACTGTTACAGATGAACAAAAACTCAGAGAATTTATCACTGTGAGATGTCTGCAGTAAAGGAATAATGTATAAAGGATATATTTCAAGAAAAGGAAAATGAATCCAGAATGAGTACAGGAAGGTTAGTATGAGGTGCAGAAAAGAATGGTAAATAAATAAAATGGCAGACATTGTCTACATAAAATATTTTGTAGTGGGGAGAGTTTTTTAAAAAGATAGAGCTAAAAATAAATAAAAATTAAAAAGAACATTGTTCAGGGGCGCCTGGGTGGCTCAGTTGGTTAAGCGA